CATCCCCTCTCTGCACCATCAAACACACCTTGTCCTCACTCTGTCCCCCCCTCCCCAGCTCTGCCTGGCCGGGGGAGCTGTGTGGGATCCCGCTGCTGCAGCACAGGTGGCCCAGGATTAGTGAGCAGGGGAGCACAGGGGCCCGTGCAGTGTGGGGAGAGCTCTGTGGTGAGTCAGTCATCACCCCAGGCAGCCCTGAGACCACAGGTGCCTGCAAAGAAGCCCCTGGGAGGGGGGAAGCCAACACCATCTAGAAAGTGCCAAGGCATGAGGGATGTGCAGAGCCCCATTGCCCTGGGCAGCACAGCCCTGGAGACACTGGGGTTTGGCCAGCATGGGAGGGAATGGGGAGATGGGGTGGCCCGGGGACATCAGGGGGTCCAACTAGTGCTTGGGGCAAAGGGTGAAAGGTGTGATGGCCTTGTGCCCTGCTGTCCCTGATGTGCTGGCAGACAGAGCCGCAAGGTCACTGGCAGATGGAGCCGCGAGGTCGCAGGAGCTCCCACGCTTCCCTTCATCACCTCCAGCACCCTCCTCTTCTCCTCAGCCCCTAAAACACAGCTGGCTCCAAAGGCAAGGACTCCATCCACCCGGTCCCTCCTGGAGGGGCAAAGTCAGCCCTCCTGCCCGGGGGTGGTGAAGGGCAGAGCATCCATCCCAGCTGACCCGGCTCCCCGCTGCCTGCGGGAGCGTTATGAAATGAGGACACGGGCCGCTCCCCGCTGGGCCTGGGGCACTCGCTTCCTTCCAGCCTGGTATTTTCCTCCTCGATTTGGGTTGTTGGGTTGGTTGTGGTATTTTTTTTTTTTTTTAATTCATTATTTTTTTTTGCATAGCCCCAAGGGGTACGCAGCTGTGGGAGGAGCAGGGAAGTTATCAGCCGGGAGATACCAGCAGCATGATTCACTGCCTGGCCCCCCCCCCCCCGAAGGCTGCTGCAGCCGGATGGGTGCCCTCCCTGCCACCGCAGTGAGGTGCCGTTTGTGGACCCCCATATCCCGGCCTGTCCTCGCTGCCTTCCCCTCTCCCCGATCTCCACCCCCACCACCCCTCCCCAGGAGCGTGGGGGCCAGTGGTGCAGCCCCCAGCCCCAGCACGGCCACGGGCGTGGGGCCAACAGCCGGGATTCCCATGGGATGGATGGGGTCCAGCATGCGACCGGCTGGGCAGGAGCCTCCCAGCAGCCACCTTGCAAAGGTTTGCAAAAGTTTTTGGGGGTCCCCACCTCCTGCCTGTCTGCAAACACCTCCTAGGGCTGCTATTATGGGATGGCAGCAGAGCACCAGGGAGGAAGTCTCGCACAAGTGGGTAGGTAGTACTGAGGGTCCCCCCTTCACCCTTCTGGAATCCTGCAGGAGCAGAAAGCCCCGGGCAGTCAGAAGACCAGGGTGCTTCACCCTGAAATATCCTGTGCTGTCTCCAATCCACTTTTATTCACAATCAGAAAATAACTTACCATACAATAACACAGGCACGCACAGCACAGCTCTGGGCACCCTCCCCTCCGGCCATGATGCTACAGCCCAAGCTGGCCCAAGCTCTGCCCCAGCAGAGGCGAGCTCCAGCCCGGGGAGCTGTGCCCCCCCTCCATCCCACGGGATGCTCCATCCCCATCCCACTCAGAGCACAGCCTCACACGTGTCTGGAGGAACCTGTGCACAGTGCCAATGCGTGTGTCCCCCCTCCCCTCCCACCCTGGGCTCCCCGTGCCCTGCTGTCCCCCACCCCACCTTGCCCCGTCCCGTTGGGTGCCAACGGGTGCTCCCCCACCCCTGTGCCCACCCTCCGCCCCCCCGAGCGGTGCTGGTGTTGGCGGTCTGTACAGCATGGTCGTGCGCTCCCCGGGGCCAGGAACCTTGGTGCTCTCATGCGGGGCCGGGCGGACAGCAGGCAGCGGGCAGCCCTGCCCTCCCCGGGTGACAACAAAGTGCTGATTTCGGAGGGTGCCGGGCATCTCCTCTCCCGCTCCCCCCTCGAAGCGGAGGGAAGCGGGTACCGCGGCTCCATCTCCCCCCTCCCAGCGCCGATCCCCGTCTCCCTCCCCCCCTGTGGGCAGGCGTGCTTGTCCCTGACACCCTGGGGTGGGCACCCGTCCCTGCCCGGCTACTTGCAGACGCTGACCCACTCGGTGATGCGACATTCCTCACAGGCCACGAAGCAGCACCAGTGGAACTTGCAGTTGCAGCGCTCGCTGCGCGTCTGCCGCAGGATGTTGTGCCCACGGCCGCAGCACAGGCTCTCGCAATTGTCCATGCCTGGGCTGGTCTTGTTGCACAGGCGCCCTTGGGTGCCCAAAGAGTCCAGAGCCGGTTCCCGCTCGCAGAAATCGGGTGACTTCTCGAAGTAAACCAGCTCACTGATGCCAGCCCGGCGGCGATGCCGAGCGTGGCCCGGCTCCAGCTGCCCGGCGTTGCGGTTGTGGGGCCGGATGAGGGTGGCCCCGTAGAAGCGGTCCTTGAGCAGGGACCCCACCAGGCGAAACTCAGGCGTCACCTGCCAGCACGTCTTCAGCTGGCAGCTCCCTGAGGTGCCGTGGCATTTGCACTTCCTCCTCATGTTGTCCATCACCACCTAGGTGGGGAGGGAAGGACAGAGGGGTTAAGGCGGAGTAGATGTTTTTTGGAGATCGGAGAAGCCATTGTGGAGCTCTCTGGGGGTTGGCACTAGGGGAACACCAAGGGCTGGCACGAGCAGCCATCAGAGCTCTGGAGCTGCAGAGCCTGTTGCTGTGCCTGGTGTCACCCATATCCCACACCCTGTCCTTTCCCATGCTGGCAGTACCTACTGGCTTTTATGCTCCAGCAAGGCATCAGCACCTAAAGGAGAGGGTGAACTACCTGACCACAGGGAGGAGAAGGAGCCTGGCTCTCACTTTCCGCTGCTGCTCGGCTCCAGCAGCACCAACCTGACTTGGCATGGCTGCATCCTCCCAGTCCTACTGGGAGCCCCCAGTGCAGGGGTCCCCCATGCACCTCACCAGCCAGGAGCACTGCAAGTGGGGCAGGTGGGAGGGATGCCTTCCCCTCCCCAGGGCTTTCCCCCCATAAAGCCCCAGCTCTGGGGTTCCCGGGAACAGTTCTGCTTTCAGTTCTTGCCTGCTTTCTCAGGGAAAACCCTGGGCACAGTGCCGGGGGGCTGAGGCACTGCCTCCCACCATCACCTGAATTTCAAGCAGGGATTGGAGATCCTCACAGCCCTGACCTGTGGTTTTGGGAGGCTGCATTGAGGCCAGTGCCACATGTGTGTGTCCCCCATGAGGGCCAGGGTGTGTGGGCTGGGCCGCGGCTGTGGTTTGGACTGGCTGGGGAGCGTGGCTCATGCAGGGGCCAGAGGCCAGTGCGGGGCAAGCAGGACCTTGGGCTCCCTGGGCAATGCTGCTGAGCACCCAGGCTGCGTGCTGGACTCCCCCCCAGGTCCCCCACCCCTGCAAGGGATGCTGCTGCGGCCATGCCAAGGGAAACAGCTCATGCCCAGCAATCCCCAGGGACACAGAGTGGCTGCACTTCCCTGCACAGCCTAGAAAGGAGGCAGCTTATATCTCTTTCTGTCCCCTGTCCTGTCCTGACAGGGATTCCCTGCTGGGTTGTGTGCCCCCACGCCCACGCGCTTGCACAGGCTCCAGCAAGTCCCCTTCCCATGGGGACATCCAAGCCCCGCCGGGCTCGCAAAGACTATTGCAGGCTGATCCCCCCAACCCAGGGTCACGCTCCGGGACTCAAGGGGAGCCCAGGGGACACGTGGCCCGGCACAAGGTTCTGTCCCACGATGCCAGCCCTGCCTGGCTGCCCGGCTTCACGCCTGACACGCGCTGCCTGTTCCTGCCCCCTCCCTGGGGGGACACGTGTGAGGAGTGCCTTGTTTTAGTAGGAGTAGGTAGTTTTTACTCCTTGTTTTCTTGGTTTTGAGTAAATCTCCCTGTTGCTAAGCAGTTATGGTAATGAAGGCAGGTCAGGGAAACACGCCTGGAGCTTGGGGCACACGGCGGAGAGGTCTGGGCTGGGCTGGAGTTTGGCTTTCATCCTGCTGAGAGTCCTGTCTCCTGCCGGGAACAGCCTCCACCTCGCAGGTAATGAGCTGCCCGGCCTCTCCGCCGTGCCCTGGGTGTGTCGGCCGGGAGCACCGGCTGCTCACCACCATCCTTGACACCATCCACAGGAACACGCTGGCACCGGGACCCCATCTTTTCCCACATCCCCTCCCTGCTCCCTTGGCTGGACCAGGGAAAATCTGCATATAGGGCTGTGGTTGGGATGGCCACCACGGGGATGGAGGGGACAGCAGTGTGACATCTGGACAGGGGCTCATTTGGGGCTACAGCTGGTCACAGCTGGGGCTGGAGAAGGCAGTGTTGTGTGTGCCATCTCCATCACCCAAGCCATCACTGCCGAGCATCCCGAGCCCCAGCACTGCAGCAACAATCCATCCCTGCCCAGGGATGGCTTGTTCTCCCTCCTGCACGGGCAGCGCAGCGGGGACGGGACCCTGCCAGAGGTGGGAGACACGAGAAGGACCCATCTGAGCCTTGGCCCCATACTTTTGCTGTCAGATCTCCTCCATGCACCCCTACTCGGCCACGTCCTTCACCCATCTCACAGACACCCAGGTTCGGCACATGCCCGGACTCGCTGGTGCTTTCTTTCGCACATTCCCAGCTCCTCCCAGACACGCTCATAAGAGCTTTATCGTAGGTCTTTGTTGTGAGGGTAATGGGTAGTTCCTGGCTGCCTTTCATCCTCTCTTGCTCTCTGATCTGGCGGTTTAGGAGGACCTGCAAAGCCTCTTGCACACTCCTGCTGCTCCTCACTGGGGAACTTGCTGCCTCCCAGGGATGCAGGACACCCACCTCAGTCTTGAGTTGGAATAGGATGTTACCCTGGATCTTCCTATTCCAACACAAGACCAGGGTGACCACTGGCTCCATCAGAGGATGCTGCGCATCCTCTGCAGCTGCAATCCCCTCCCTGGCTTCGTATTGGGATAGAAAAGAAGGAAAAACAGCATGTTTCTGCCTGGTTTCGAACGAGGGACTTCCGCGTGTCAGGCGAATGTGATAACCACTACACTACAGAAACCCACACCCCATGACCCCTGGATGAGGCCATCGGTGGGGTTGTCACCTCCTCCCGGCACTGCAGGGCCTGGGACAGGAGCCAGGCTTACCCACGCACAGAGCACCCCTCGGGACACCCAGGGACCGCGGAGACGAGGTTCAGCATCGGTGAGATGCTGGAGAGCCCTGGGTGCGGCAGCTGCTCGGTGCACGGGGAGGGACGGCGTGTGGCAGGGCACGGCACGGCACGTGGCGTGCATGTCCGCAGCACCGCTCTGCTCAAGGGGTTCAAGCCTCGGAGGGGAGGGAAATCCCAGAAGACTGCTCCTATTGAGAGCAGAAATATGGTCCTAGGAGTGAGGATAGCTTGGGTGGGTGTGGGGCTCACAGCGTTGCTAAAAGAGCAGGCGGGGAGCCGGGGAACCCGTCCACACCCAGTGTGGATAGCCAGGTCCAGCCCTGGCAATAACCACGGCACCAACAGGCACAGGCCAGGCACAGCATCATCTCCTGGCTCCAATGCATGGCACCCACAGCCATCACAACCCGACCAGCACACAGGCTCACACTTTCAGCCCAACAGGGTCCCTGAGCTGGGCAGCCTGTCCAGCCATTGCCTCCCCACCTGCACTGGCACCATCCCCTCCTTTCTCCCTTTGGTCCTCCTCTGCCTCTGCTTCCAGCTCCCAGGCTTCTTCCACCAGTCCAGCTCTTGTCTCTAAAGCCACCGAGAGCTGACATTGCTGGTCCCATGTCTGCCTGCCCTTGAGGACACAGAGACCCCAGGCATTTTTACTGTTGCCGGATCCCACAGGCACTGCGTGGTGACATCCCCCCTGTGCAAATATTCCTCTCTCACCTTTCCCCTCCTTCTGTGGGGGGCTGTGGGGCTTCCCTTGGGAAATGGACAATACACCCCCCAAATTTATGAGCACTGCCAAGAGTCCCAGTGGTTTGGGGCACTCAGAGCCGGGATGAGCCCTGCAGCCAGAATTGGGTTAGGGGGGCTTGCCTGGCTTGGGGCAGAGACGCCTGTGAAGGATTTAGCTGCCCAACGCTGAGCAAGCCTTCACCACATGCAAGCAAACAAAGCCAAACAAGCAAAAGACTCTGGCTTTCCTCAGGCATTTATAGCTTGGCCAAACTGGGACAGCTTTTCAGGACAGTAAAGCTCAGCTCCAGCACCAGGAAAGGGCACACATCAAGGTCCTGCTCTGCAGCGTCCCCATCTCACAGCTGGTTTTAAACATGCTCAAAGCAAGAGGCATATCCAAATGTCTGAGCCATCCCAAGGAAACACTCCCTGTGCAATTCTGATCTTTAATTACTTATTCCCACAGCCACTACACACCCCCCTGTGCTGCCCTGGCGGGGTGTGGCTGGGGTCTTGGGGACAAAGGTCCCACTGGATCCATGGGATGGGATGGGATCTCCCCGGCACCTGCTGGGAGCAAAGGCAGGCAGGGAAATGCAGCCATCCTCCCAGTCCCTCCTGCCTGCATGCTTCTTGTCTCCACTATCAGGCTGCTTTTAAACATCAGCTTCCAGACGGAGTGAGCTACTAATTAGCACCTTTAACGAGACCTGACATCATGAGAATGTAGGGGAGGCTGCCCTGCTCACCTGGGCAGGCTCCAGCAGCCCCTTGGAGCCAGGGGACAAGGCTGTGGGCTGTCACCTCTGCTCCTGAGGGAAGGCTGCCCTTCCCAGCTGGCATAGGTGCCCGCTGCCTGGCTCAGTCCCGCTCACATCTGCCCCCTCGGGACACTGGCTCCCTCTCCGGAGGCAGAGCTGTGGCTGGGTGCTGCGGAACCTGTGCTGTGTCCCCACGATGCCAGTGACTTCCTCCTCCCTGTCTGTAGCTCCATCCCACTGCAGCTGCCTGACACCAGTTCACCCAGTCCCCGAGAGGCAGGAGACGGACTCACTGCCATACCAGCCCCGTAGCACTGCTGCAGCACAGGTAAGTGACAGTGGCCTGGGGAAGTGTCCCTCGGCAGGGGGACAGCAACTATGCTCAGAGGTGCCCTCCCCACCTCAGAGGTGAAGAGATGCTTGGCAGCAGGGCTGCACCATGGCCTTTGCTCTGGGCAAAAGTGGGGAGAGGGCATGCCTTGGGGACAATGCCGGACTTGCACATGAGCCCCACCACAGCCAGCACGAGCCCCTTGCAGCCCTCTCACGTGTCCCCTGGGGACCCTGTCCCCACCACCAATCACCCCGCACCCCCGCCCAGCACCCCACTCACCTGCCGGCCCACGCGGTTGTTGTGCAGCCTCATGCGGGAGTGGATGTCCCTGTAGGTTTCCCGGGAATCAAGGAAATCCTTGGAAAACTTCTCCCCATAGTCCACATCGGGGCTGCACCCTCCCCATTCCCAGGAGTCCTGGAGGCCGGGGGTCTCGGCCGGCATGTGCTCCATGTGCACCCCGTGCACCATGCCTTTGCCGCGGTTCATGGCCTCCAGCTGGAGACGATGCAGCTTGCGCCGAAAAGCCTCCTCATCGCCCCGGCGCTTCTGGTCGCAGCCGCAGGCCTGCAGCTTGCCGAGGGCGCAGGCGTTGGAGACGGCGTGCACCACACCAGCGGCCGCGATGGCGTAGGCGAAGGCGCTCTCCCGAAAGCCTGCAAGGAAGGAAACAGTGGGGCTCAGTTTGGGCGGTGTGACCCCGCCACGGGGGGCTGGATGAGCCCAGCGTCATGCCGGGGTGTAGGGAGCCAGAGGTTCAGCTTGTGCCTTGCCTTGTCCTCATCCACCAGCTCCCACTTGGACCACTCGAAACCTCACTCGGCGCTCTCCAGCCCCGTCCCCACCAGGACCATTGCTGCCCTGAAGCCCAGCCCTGCCCTGGCCAGGACCCCAGCTCCCACCATCACCCTGCGCTCAGGTTGCCCCAGGAGATGCCACCACGGCACTGCTCAGGCACCAGCACTATGGCTCTGACGGGAAAGGCAGTATCTCCTCCACTCTCCACTCAGAGTGTCCCACTGTATTAAATATAACGCTGGCTGAAGAATACTTCTACTGAGGAATGGGCCATTTCTGCTTACCCACAGGATGCAGGATCAGGCAATAACAGGAGCAGGCAGCACTGCCTGTCCAGCCCATGTCCCTTCCCTCTCTAAGCCCCGTTGGTTCCCACAAGAATCTCTAAATGCGATACCGCGCTGGAAAAATCGAGCATCCCTAGTTAGTCAGAGCATGCCGCGACCGCACCACATGCTGCCAGGGCCGGCAGCTGGTTGTTGTTAAACGTCAGGGAGTGAGGACATCCCCAAGTGTCATTAGCTGGGGATGGGGTAGATGGGGACAGGGACGGGTCCCGTGGCAGGAGCAACATGGGGCTGCGAGCAGGGGCTGCCCGAGGGCTGCTTGGCTTCACTGCAGCTGGGTAAAGAGCCTCCCCTACCCGGAACTTCTATTTTATTTTAAATGCAAAGTAATATTTTTATTAGTGGTTCCCCGGCCAAGTGGGGATCCCACAGTGCCCTTTGCTTCAGTGCGCAGTGAACAGCTCCAGCATGAGGAGGCGAAAGAGGGAGAGCCAGATTTTGTGCCATGGCTTCACATGTGAATAAATAAATAGCTGGAGTTCTCCAGCCTCTCTCCCTCTGTTGGACAAGAGCAGCTTGATCAGCCTTGGCTTTGCTACAGCTGAGCAGGCAAGAGGTTTTGAGGCATTTTCTCCAGCAGATTCATGCCATCAAACAGGGAATTTGGGTGAGCACCCCAAAACACAGATCCCAGGCAGGGGCTCTGCCAGCTCCCTGCCTGCACCACAGAGTCGTGAGAGGTGAGAGCACAACCGCTCCCTGCTGCTGTCACCCGTCCTGGGTGATGCTCCCCATCACGCATGTCTCCTCGGTGGTTCGCTGCCGCCCGCCCAGCAAATGCTATGATCTTATTAAAGGGAAATGAAACGCAGCTCAGAAACCTGCATTTAACGTCACGCTGCTCTTTTGTGTGCTAATTTGACACTGGTGCATTTCAAAAATTAACGAGGCGCTGCTTAAAAGCCAGTGGGAGCCTCTCCCAGCTTCCCCTTGGTGTGGGACAAGCTTGCTCTTAGCCTGCCTCTTTCCATGCACAAGTTGAACAACATTTTTCAGCAGGCAGGTAATGGGGCTGCTGGTGCGTCCGCTGCGCAGCCTCCCCGGGGAGAGCGCTGGCAGGCAGCGCCTGCAACACACCCACATCCCTGTTAGAGCAGGGCAGCCCAAATCTGGGGAACTTCAGCCCCCAGGTGAGCAATGCAGGATGGAGAACCACCACGGGAAGGTCTCCAGGATCCCGAAATTCTGCCCATATCAGTTCTCCGTCCCCGCAATCTGGGCCAGCTCCAGCCCTTCATGAGCCATACCCGGGCACAGCCCAAGAGCAGGGACCTGTTGCTGCCACCCCGCTCGGTGTCCCTGGCTCCTCGCACAGCCAGTGCCTGGGGACAGCAGCAGCAAACCCTCCACCCAGCACAACACTCTCCTCTTGCCCCTGCCTTCCCATTAGCCTCTTTCTCACACGGTTCCCAGCCTAACAAATAATTTCCCGTGTGGCTTCTCCTTAAAATCCCTTCTGGAGCCCAGACAGAAGCTCTATCCCTCCCGGTCCATCTAGCAAGCCCATCTCCTTACAGGTAAAGAGGCTGGGTTCGTTTGGTGGCCTCCACAGCTGGGAAACTCCATGGGGTCAAGCCCCAGCCCTCCTCCTTCCTCCACTGATCTCCAGCTACATGTGAGCTGGTGAATGAGGCACAGGTCCTTGTCCCTGGAGTTGCCATGCCCCAGGCTGTGGACAGGGGACAGGCTGGTCCCCAGGATTTGGCATCCCAGTGCTCTGGGAGTCTTGTCCCCATCTCACCATGGTCATTTCCCTGCTCAGCATCACTCTGCCTGGTCCTGCTGCTCCTCCCTGCCTTCTCATCTCCTTCACTCACCCCACATTAATGGGGAGCTGTGATCAGTGAGGAGAAGGGGGCCAGGGCAGCACCAGGACCGCAGCAGCCACACCAGTGCAGTTCTGCCTGG